TGGGCAACAGAGTGAGACTCCAACTCAAAAATAAATAAATAAATAAAAATAAAAAGGTCCAGTTCTAACCTTTATGTTCTGCATTTTCTAATTTCTTGACTTCAAGTCTTGTTCACTTTTTGCCCCACTTCTACCTTCCTGAGAGGCAGTTGGGCCCATATGCACCACTGAGGCCCTAATCCTTGAGTAGCTGTTTGCCCTCACCTTGGCAATCGACTCACTTCTCAGGGTCTCCCTTGACCGGTCAGCCGTGAGAAGGGTGGAGATGCCTGGCTGCTTCCTGCCTGTCTCACAGGGGTTGTAAAGGCCAGTACAATTTTACAAAGGATGAATTCCTCCAAGGAAGATCCTGCCTGTGTAAAATATTTTAGTACTTCAATGGTTATTATTGCTATAACATCCAGGAATCATGAGGGATAAGAAGAGAAGGAACAGGTATAAATATCCCTTGTATTTACGGTGATAGAGTAGAAAGAGGCCTTGGAGACCACTTAGGGACCCACTTCATTAACAGATAAAGGCATGGAAACCAAGAAAGTTTAAGTAGTGAACTCAAGGCCACGGGACCAACACTACATAGGTGGGGTTGGCCCTAGATCCCAGGCTCCTCCTAGCTCCCAGCCCAGCATTTTCTCTACAACATCAAAACCGAAGCCCTGGTGGCCTGGTGCAGTGGCTCACACCTGTAATCCCAGCACTCTGGGAGACTGAGGTGAGAGGATTACTTGAGCCCAGGAGTTTGAGACTAGCTTTGGCATCATAGTGAGACCTCGTCTCTACAAAAAAATAATTTAAAAATTAGCCGGGTGTGGTAGTGCATGCCTGTAGTCCCAGCTACATGGGAATCTGAGGCTGAAGGATTGCTTTGGCCCAGGAGATCAAGGCTGTGGCGAGCCGTGATCATGCCACTGCACTCTAGCCTGTGCGACAGAGTGAGACTCTAACTCAGGAAAATTAAAATTAAAAAACTTAATAATCAGATGACCCTCAAAACTTCACTTTCCCTTCAATCCCCCTTGCATCAGAAGACTAGAATCAGTGTGCTTTGAGGCAGCTTTGCTGCCCATTGGTACAAGGGAACACAGAGAAACCCCAGACTCTTGACTCTTTTCCCAGCTAGCCCTGTAAGCCAGCTAGAGTGGCTTACATCTTCCAGGCCAAGGTGCCCACACTAGCCACCGGAAGTGGTGTGCTACCGAGAAACCCAAGCTCAGCTTTGACCTGGAGGGAAAATGTGATCCGCCATCTTTGCCTCTCACCTTTTTCATTATCACATCAACCCAGATTTTCAGATTTGTGATCACTAGTTCTTCCCGTCAGGACATCTGTTATCATTTCATGTATTTACTCACACATATTCATTAAGTACTCATTATATGTGGAGTATAAGAGAGCCAGTGAGGACTTGGGATTTCAGAAGCCTGTCTTTTTAGGGTTTGGGATTATTCCTATAATCATGTCCAAAGTGTGGGGCATGTGTAAATGTGCATTTTTCAGGGGTCCCTAATTTTCATCAAATGTTACCCTAAAAAAGTGAAGAACCACCATAATGGGTATACACTAGAACTTTTCTTCATGCCTCATTGAGTGGAGAACACAGGGGTGTGACAGAGTGTGACCAAATGAGGTATCTCTGCCCCGGGGCTCTGGTATGTTCTGTGGAACCTCAGGAAGTTATGTGCTCACCAGCTCAGAATCCATTTTGGATTCTGCCTCACGTATCGACGTCCTCCTGTGTGGCCCTGAGCTGGCAGCCAACAACAGTCTGTCCTCACTTCTTGTCCCTGTCACCGCAGGAAGCAGTGTTTACCCTCAGCTTTGTTCCTGGGCATCATATCCTGGAATTTGGGAAACGGAGGAGGGAAGGGACAGCAACCCAGAAGGATAGAAAGATAAACTTAAATACTAGAGGAAGCATGGCACCTTAAAAGTGCCCTATGGCCAGGCACGGTGGCCCATGCCTATAATCTCAGCACTTTGGGAGGCTGAGGCAGGAGGATTCCTTGAGCCTAGGAGTTCGAGATCAGCCTGGGCAACATAGAGAGACCTCATCCTTACAAAAATTTTTTTTTAAAATAGTAGCCTGCTGGCAACATGAGTCTCCCAGGCACTTAGTCTGCCATTCCTCTTCTTAGTGCCCAGGGAAAGCGCCTGTGCCGAGGCTGCATGATATCCTGAGGTAGGTACAAGCTCTGGAATCACTGCCTGTGTACCAGCCTCAGCTGGGTGACCTTGATCTTGTTGTGCCTCCCTTTCCTCATCTGTAAAATGGGGCTCATAATAACTCTATCCTATAGGATTGTTGTGAGGATTAAATGAGCTAATTTTGAAGCTTTGTCCTCCTCCCCTCCCTTGGGGAGGTAAATCCCTCCTTTATCTCTCTTCAGTTTACTTTCTAAATAAACTGTATTTTCTAATCTAAAAAAATGAGCTAATTTTTATAAATCAGCAAGCGAGAAGGCCACAGCAAGAGCGTATCAAGAAACTGTCCCCTCAGTCCCAAGAAAGGAAAGAAGCTGGCTGGGCCACTTTCTGGCTCTCAACAATCCTTTCATGCCAGACGCGGTGGCTCATGCCTGTAATCCCAGCACATCAGGAGGTTGAGGCGAGAGGATTGTCTGAGCCCTGAGCCTAGGGGTTCGAGACCAGCTTGGGTAATTTGACGAGACTGTCTCTACAATAAATCAAAAAATTAGCCAGGTGTGGTGATGCGTGCCTGTAGTTCCAGCTACTTGGAAAGCTAAGGTGGAAGGATCGCCTGGGCCCAGCAGGTTGACGCTACAGCAGCCATGAGTGTACCACTGCATTCCAACCTAAATGACAGGGTGAGACTCTGACTCAAAAAAATAAATAATAAATAAATAAATCCTTTCATTCAACCCTGCTGGTCCATCTGACTTCAGTGTTCCTGCAGGGGTCAGGTTCAAGAATTTTCCTTTTTTTTCTTTTTTTTTTGGAGTTGGGTCTTACTCTGTCACCCAGACTAGAGTGCAATGACATGATGGTGATGATCACATCCAATGGCAGCCTCAACCTCCTGAGCTCAGGTAGTCCTTCCACCTCAGCCTTCTGAGTGGCTGGGACTACTGGTGTGCATTCCCATGCCCGGCTAATTTTTTTATTTTTTATTTTCTTTTTTTGTGTTTGTGTGTGGTTTTGTTTTTTTGTTTTTTGGGGGGTTTTTTTGAGTTGGAGTCTCACTCCGTCACCCAGACTGGAGTGCAGTGGCACACTCCCAGCCACCACAGCCTCGACCCGCTGGGCTCCGGCGATCCTTCCGCCTCAGTCTTCC